GCTTATGCGGGCTGGATCTGGCTGCGTACCATGTTCTGTGAAAATTTGTCCATAAAACTGAATTGATTTCTGTAGAAAGTTACATTTCTTGAGATTTAGCGTAAGGCATTTTGAATGCAGACGTTGCAAACAATTTTGCAAAGCTAAATCGTGTTCCTTGCGAGTTTTGCCAAAAACTACGATGTCATCTGCGATGTTCAGCACTCCATTTATACCTTGTAAAGATTCTTGTAAAACATGCTGGAAAATTTCCATAGCAGCATTTGTCCCATAATTGAGACAAGTGTATCGATAAAGTCCTACGTGTGTGCTGAAGGTAGTGATAAAACGACTGTCTATGTGTAATGGTAGCTGGTGGTAAGCTTGGTTTAGATCCAATTTACTGAAATATTTGGCACCATTGAGTTGAATGCTGATATCATTCAATGTAGGGATCGGATAACGTACACGTTTTATTGCAGTATTTGGCACACGCATATCTACGCAAAGACGAACAGATCCATCCTTTTTCGGTACTACGACGATTGGAGATACCCACTGCGAAGGCGCGTTTTCTGGTACAGCTTCAATGATCCCCTCTTTTTCCAGCTGGGTGACAGCTTCTTTAACTTTCTTTCTCAAATGAAAAGGAATTCTCCTTTGCGGTTGTGCACGTGGTATTGCCTTTTCGTCGATGTTTAGCTTCACCGAGTACCCCTTCAGTTTACCAGTTCCTTCAAAGACTTTGTTGAAACGTTGAATAATGGCATCAATTTGCGGATCAATATGTTTTGTAGGGGTTGCTGAAACTGAAAGTTTTTTCAATTTCAGCGTTATGACTCCAAGTTCTTGTGCTGTATTGGCTGAAAGTAAACAACCAGCATTACGATCTTTTAGGACATAAAATGTTGCAACTCCATAGCGAGATTTTGTTGTGATCATCGATTCAAATTTTCCTATAAAACAAACTGGTTTCGAAGAGTTGAATGGAAAAGCTTTTATTTTGGTTTGTTGTAACTTGACTCCGTGCATCTTTTCGAAAGTATTTCTATCGATAACGTTGATTGTGGATCCGGTGTCCAATATCATGTTGAACTTGTGACCCTCGACCACAACATTAACCACAGGGCTGCGTTTTGATAATTTGTCGTTGCCATTTGAGACCGTATACAGGTATTCCTCGTCACTAGAATTATCCTCATGCTGCAAAGGTCTCACCGCTGCATGTGATTTGCGAGAATGTGCAGGACGTCTTTGTTTCTGCTTCGAGAATTTTGAGCTCCTACAAACTGATTGAAAGTGGTTCGGTTTGTTGCACTTGCGACATGTTTTCCCTTGCGCGGGGCATTGATTTTTGTGCGGCCATTCTCCTCCACAATTGTTGCAAGTCTTGTTATCAGACTTCGATTGCAAGCGGTTCGTTGTTTCTGTGTGTACGTGGGTGGTTTCTATATCTCGGGCTTGATACGAACTGGTTTCATCCCGTCTTCCATCGATTAGCATGTCTTTAAGGGTATACGTAGGGTCACGCAAAGCTCGGCGTCTTATACGGGAAGATCGACCCCCTATAATTATTTGTTCCTCGATTTCAAAGTCTACATCTTCGAATTCGCATGTACTGGATATCGGCCTGAGTCGTGTATGAAAAGTATCGAGCGATTCTTGATCTCCCTGACGAGTTTCACGAAAACGATAAACTTCATACCGTCGATTTTTCTGAGGCTCGAAGTACTCAATGAGCTTGGCTTTTGTTGTCGCAAAGTTGTCTTCATTCCCTTCTCCGTTGACATCACTCAACTGGTTAAAAATTTCTCGAACTTTGGGTCCAGCTTGGTAAAGTAACAAAGCTTTCTGGCGCTTAGCGTCTCGAATTCCGCTAGCCACAAGAAAAGTATCAAAATCACGTAGCCAAAGTTTCCATCTGGCAGCAACACTCGCTCCAAGTTCTGCATTCGGGTCGAACGGTGGTAATGGATTGAGTTGTACAGACATTCTCGTCGCCAATGTTAAGATGTGAAGGAGATAGAACAACGCATGGGTTGAACAGAAACAAAACGATAACTTTATATTAACTTCAAACGGCCTACACACATAACTGTAATACTGTCAACTGTAATCTGAAACTATATAAACATGGGTCACATAAAGTAATGCTCCTGCGCATAGTCAATTAGGTTACTACAGGTAGCAAACTTTAAATCTTTTATTGACCATATGTCGCCTAATTTTGAATATAAAGTTTGCTTTTCGAGAGATATTTATGCCGTTGAATCCCCCCCCCCCTTGGGAGGTAGGCTTAGTCAAAATATGACGGTAACCACTTTAAAGCAGCCGTCTCATCTTTGCTATAAGTTTGTCTTTGTTTGATGCACACGTTCCGAAAACACTATATTGTACAAAGAACAAACTTTTTAATGTGTACTGCTCGGTAAGAAACTGTCATCTCAATATCATAGTTATCATAATAAACTTCCTTAATCGCAGAACTTTCATTTAAAAGAAATATTCAATATTTATTACAGATATCACTGCTAAAAGGGTAACAAACTAAGCTATCATTTGTTTGACTTAAACAAAAAAGACCTACACATTCAGAAATATATTAATTTGTACTTGCCTACACATTCAGAAACATTTTTGGCTCCAAGACTAGAAGACCTTCCACTAGGGCAATAATCACATTGCATTTTGCCAGTATTTTCCTGGTAGAATCCCTCAGGACAAAGCTGACACCTGTCTGCAGTCATGCTAAAGAAGCTTCCAGCGGTACAGATTTCTACAGATTAAACAAACGATAAGAAAAAGTGAAAAATAACTGGTTTCGAGATGGGACCATGAATGTAGGAAGAGTAGCAGCTCAGTGGCAAGAAGTACCATTATTATAATATTATTCTATGGAAATCTGTTAATAAGAATTATTAAGGATTGTAAGAACGTAAGTATACAATTTTAGAGTGTATACTCTACATATAGCATCATGTCGAATTAAAGAACCATGAGAAACTAATAAAAAAATTATGGAGAAAGGAAATATTGAAAGAAAGTTGAGCATATGTCAAAAAATAGTGCTTCAAATTTAATTGTTCGCGATAAAAATGGGACACAAACCTTTACAGGCAGAGCTGTGATTGGAAGCAACATTGAATGTTGTAGTTCCAAAAGGACACGCTGTACAGTTGGTCCAACCATCCATTTGTTGATATAAGCCAATGGAACAATCGATACATTCATTGCCTGACACATTGTGGTATGTTCCAGCTGGGCAAATAACTAACAAAAAGGAGAAAAATAGTTTAATGGTACAAAACCTAGGCAATTAATGGTATTCACTGATTTTTGACAAAAAACTGATAGCATCTTTTGAAATGCTGAGGTACAGTTTGCAAATAATTGACAGTTGACAATTTGAGACTAGACTGAGTCACTTCAAAAACTGGCTGTTGCTTAAAAAAAGACAAAAATGTGGTCAAAGATGTCCTTATCATGAAAAATAGTGATTAACTTCAAAAGCTTGATACTATTTTCTCAAATGTATCCACACTAAGAATATGTATGACACTGCTCCCTGATCCTTGGAGCCAGTGGCAAAGCCAGGTTTGGAGGGACAATCAGGCTAAGATAGGAGCATGCCACGCCCTGTTGACTACGCCCAACAATAAGCGCCTTACTCTGATTTCTGAAACACAAACTTATTGTAGTTGGTAAATTCACGGGGCAGACACAGAAAAAATCTAGCATTCACAAGTTTCGACTACGTCTATATGAACACGCCCAATAATTTTCAGTCAAATTTTTCTATGATCTCAGAATCGAAGTTTTTGCTTCTACAAATGAGATCAAATGGAGCTATTTGAGAGATCAGTCGCTTGAAGATGTATTTTCCTCATATTAAGTTTTAGGATAAGGAAACTTAACTAACAACATAAATTACTAACACTTTTCTAACAGCATAAATTAAATAAGGATCCCAAGGCTCAAAGTTTTGAGAAATTCACGAACACATGACAATTTATGCGCAAGAAATATGCTTAATTAACTTTAAGACTGACTTATTTCCATTTGAACTGTTTTTCAATTGATTACTTTTATATATGCAAAAACGAGACTTCAAACACTATAATGAAGCTGATAGCTCCCAAATATCCCCGTATAACATCGGTTTTCGAAATCAGCACTCTGGAATTGACCAAAAGCACATGGTCCCATTTACTTCGCTCCCGGGCTACCATTTCCCTATTCTCCGCCTCGTCTATTAATCCGTCAATCTGGTTTCACAGACCTAGTTTCCACTCTGTTAAATTTACTTAAGTTCTTTCAAATAAGTCCACCGGAACGAGGTCCGGGCGCACTGAGCCAGACTCTCTTACTTTATATGAAAGTGAGTCTGGTACCCAGGGTAACTAAGGTCACGCATAACAGCGAATTCATAAACATCGGTATAAAATTAAGTGACGAGTTAAAAAGTTCTTTGGAAGAAGATTCATGGTGAGTTAGCGAAAGAAACACTTTTTGCAATTTGTTTCTATCTTCAAAATAAAACGATCTGGAACACAATCAAAATACTATTAGGAACGCAATAATCTAATCTAACGTCTAGTGTGAAGGACGTCTCTGTAGCGAAAACGAAATCCAAAAATTTTATTTCCTAGCCAAAATTCGCTATGTCCGTATCAAAGTCAATAATGGAATACTCACTGCATTTTTTATTCTGAGATTGGAGGATGCTTCCCTGGGGACACTTTATAGATACAGTTGTTTCGAGGTCGTTGTTTGTGGAATTGATCGTGACGTCATTGACCGATATCGTCATGTTGAACTGCCCGTTTTTAAAACCACTCTGAACTTGCTGTGTATAGTTCTCTCCACTGGTGGTGTTCACCGGGAAGTCTGCTGTAATTGTTGCAACCGAGCCACCCGTGCTTCTTCGCCGTCTCGATACACTGTCACATTTGATGCTTATTTGACTGAAGTCGCAGCTAAATCCACAAATAGGGAAATATTTCTGAATCGTTTGGATTTTGGCTTCAAATTCTCTTCGGAATTGTGCAATGAATTGTGCATTACATGAGCTGGCTGAATAGGTTACTCGGTTCGACGTTGTTGTTGCTGCAGATGCAGTTGCTGTTTAAGAAGCACAATTCAAATATTACTAATTACTAAGCAAAATTTTCTAAGAAGTCATAAAGCAGATCGAAGATCAGAAGGCACATAAGTATTCAAAATTACTTATTTCCCAGGGATATCAGCTATGGTCTTTTCAATTTGAAGTGAGAGCTTCAGCTACGGATTTCAACAATAGAGG